TAGTAAATAAGGGTGCTTTGTTTCCTTACATTTGCTTAATTGTTTCTTAGGAGTTTATTGTTATGGAAAAATACTTATTTGAAACCAAGTTTTCAGGGTCTATAAGCATTCCCAGCTGTGATTAGCAAATATCTATGGAATCTTGTGGTTAAGAAACGAAATCAATGTCTAATGATTTTTTTGTGTGAAGGTATCAGTGCTCTGAAGCTTTCAACTCTGTAGTCACTTATTTTTCACTGAACTTTATTCACTTCAGTTTGTTTGTCACACCTGAAATACATGATTGTTAATTGTTGATTACTGACTGAATAAAAATAAAGATCTGTAAATTCTTTTCCCTCCAGTGTTTTATTTCTGAGATGTTGAAACTGACTGTTTAACTGTCACAGACCACACAGCTGTCTTGTGCAACTGGTAGAAACAAAAAATAAAGTCCTTATAATACAAACGGTTTGATAGGCTTTGAAGTGAAGAAAATGGAAACCTCTCTGAGTCTGTGTACAAAATTATGATTTGAAACAGCATTTGAGAAAGTAAATTCTTGGCCCTTAATTTTTAGACAAAAGAGCAAACCTCAGTGGTATTGTTTTCCACCATGTTTTCTACCACAGAAAGAGTCATTTAATTATTTTTATATGTACATTAGATAAAATATGGTTTCTCCTCTCTGAATAAGAGTTGATCTCAGTATTTATAGAAGCAGCATTTGCAGTTTCACTTTACTTCCCCCTTGATTTACAGCCACGTTTCCTGTTATTGACTCTTAACACTAAGAAAACATCTTGTATGCACTCTCAACTTATTTAGATTCAAATTTGAAAATTTAAGTCATATCTTCACTTTTTGGAGAAAGTCTACAACTTTATGATCACAGACGTAGGAAAACAGTAGACGTTTTGTCCGTTGATTCTTTTTCAACACCGTCATCAGGAAACAACAGGCTTATGTGAAGGAGTTTTTCATTCGTGAGACAAAAGAAGGAAACAACATCTTTGCTCTCATGCTCCTTAACCATGTAACCATATGTCTAAACTTCATGAACAAATCATTAAACCCTATGACAATACCAAGTGGTTTTGTTTTCCACTTTATGTTCTATCACAGAAAGAGGCACGTTATTAGTTGTATATGTACAGTAGTTGATATGGTTTACCTGTCGCTGAATAAACTTTAAACTCAGTATAATAAAAGCAACCTTTGCATCTTAACTCACTCCTAGATTTACAGGAAATGTTCCTGTTATTGATGGTATGGCAACCTTTGTGATACAGCACTCATATAATACTAAGAAATCCACTCTTAAATCCAATTTCATTTACATTTTCCACTTTAATGTTAGTAAAGCAACATTTGTGAAAGTCATTCAAACAGGGGGGAGACTGTAAAAGAGGTTGTGGTTGTCATGTGTTGTTCTCTGTCAAAGTACCACTTTAGATTCAAGCCAGGAGTCAAAAAAAAAGTGAAAGGGAATTATCTTATCTAAGCTTACTTTATGTTAGATATAAGTTCCTGTGAAGAGAGAAAGCTCAGCTCACACACATCGCAAACAAGAGAACGAAACAACATCTTTGCTCTCATCCTCTTCAACCATGTATCTGGACTTGAATTTGAAAGCTGAAGTTTTATCTTCACTTCTCGGACAAACCATTAAACCCTATGACAAGACAAGATGTGGGAGTACAGCAGATATTTTGTCTGTTGATGACTTTCATCTCAACACCATCATCGGGAAACAAAGGACTCATATGCAGGTACTTTTCATCGACGGGGAAGAATTTTTTGATCCAAAGTATGACTACGACTTCACTAATCTCTCTGACTCGGCCGAGTGTAAGAGAGGAGATGAACTTTATGAGCGTCCAAAAGGTTGGTACCGCATGGCCTTAAAGGTCAAAGGTAAATATCCAGATGGAGACACCTGGTTGGGCCCAGACGGGTGGAGAAGTCGCTCTGTACCCGGAGAATGGCCTGTTTCCTACCACGGAACAAGCGTGGATGGAGCCAAAGGCATCATCACGGGTCACTACAAAGCAGGATCCAGAAAATTATATGGAAGAGGAATCTACTCAACCCCAGACATACATGTCGCTGAGAGAGAAGAGTACGCTAAGACCTTCACATCTAAGACAACAGGGAAAAGTTACAAAGTGATCCTGCAAAATCGAATCAATCCTGAAATGAGAAAGATTTGCCAACGATCAGACTACTGGCTCATTCCTGTTGATGAAACAGCATCTGCCGAGAAGGAGAAACAGATCGTGGAGAGCTCTATTCGACCTTACGGCATTCTGATTAAGGAAATAAATGACGATGATACCAATGATGATGATGCTGGTTCAGTTGGTGGTATTCTTCACTCATTATTTACTGCAGTCCAAGCACTGTTTAAGTAGAGCCAGAGCAAGTGTCTAATAGTCAGGGGCCTTTCAAGAGCTTTATTCTAGGCGTGTTTCCTGTGTCTGTTAGCATACTGTCTTCACAGTGATATCTGTCCTACATTTACAAACAATTTTGTATCACAAACTAGAGCAATTGTGGGAAGGAGCAAGTTTGAACGATGAGAAAAAAGACACCATCTAGTGGTCTCCTCTACGTGCTGCACGAAGTAAAGAATCTGATTCATCACATAGTCGACTCTGTAATCTTATTGAAGGAATTCTTGTCAAATTTTTTGTTATTTTACACAAGAGATTTCTGTATTTGAGTTTTATTTTTGCTCTTCTCTCTAGGCAGGGCTGATGGGGAAAAACGTTACCTGTCAATCAGCAACACAGTTCTGATGACGAAGATTAATTGAGTTCTTGACTGTTAATCTCTTTACAAATAATAAATAAGGGTTCTTTGTTTCCTTACATTTGCTTAATTGTTTCTTAGGAGTTTATTGTTATGGAAAAATACTTATTTGAAACCAAGTTTTCAGGGTCTATAAGCATTCCCAGCTGTGATTAGCAAATATCTATGGAATCTTGTGGTTAAGAAACTAAATCAATGTCTAATGATTTTTTTGTGTGAAGGTATCAGTGCTCTGAAGCTTTCAACTCTGTAGTCACTTATTTTTCACTGAACTTTATTCACTTCAGTTTGTTTGTCACACCTGAAATACATGATTGTTAATTGTTGATTACTGACTGAATAAAAATAAAGAGCTGTAAATTCTTTTCCCTCCAGTGTTTTATTTCTGAGATGTTGAAACTGACTGATTGATTTACAGCCAAGTTTCCTGTTATTGACTCTTAACACTAAGAAAACATCTTGGATGCACTCTGAGTTGCTTGTAAAAGCTTTGTCTGCTGTAGGTTTCATGTCTTGATTTATATCAAAGCTGGAAAGAGTGAACTTAGCTCACACACAGCGTGAAGCAGAGACAGAGGTCAACTTTATCTTCTTTAATTATGTATTTAGACATAGTCATATCTTCCATATAATCTTTCATATAATCCTGAAAACAGACGGCGATCAGACTACTGGCTCATTCCTGTTGAGAGAGGAGCATCTGCCAAGGAGGAGAAACAGATCGTGGAGAGCTCTATTCGACCTTACGGCATTCTGATTAATGGCTGTAGTTCATGTAAGTGTCTCATTGTCTGTCGCCGTAGGGGCTTTCAAAAACATTTGCTTTGTCCACGCTTACACGATGTTTCATATTTGCTGAATCTAAATATTTTACAATAACCACTTTCTGATCACTTATTGTATCAAAACATCAGCACTGTGTTTCTGTCAGATTTGTTGAACACCAGCTGCTGCATGTACGCACACACCCATTTCAACCAACGAATGCATATTTGAACGATTATGTCCGCATAGCCTACAGTCACACATGCCAGCTTGGTTGTTACACCTGATTATTATTATTATTATATATAAATAAAGAGCTGTAAATGGCCCTCGCTACAGTGTTTTCACAGGTTGGACGTCTGCAAGAGAAGTTTTGTTTGGGACGATCTTCTGTCAGCTGCACCAGCTGCTCAGAGCTGCCCCTGTAACATTTATCACATGGCCGTAAATAGCGAGTCATTAGGCAATTAATAGCAACCAAAACACTCCATAACTATGCTACCCATGAAATGATTATCCCTGACACATGTTTGATGTGGAAAGTATGAAAAAGACTGCAAAGGAATGGCAGTGTGTGTGTTTGAGTGTGAAAAGCTCTGGACCTCTCTGGGGAACTAAGTGCATTTACTGCTTTTGGAAATATTAAAGTGTGTGTGTGTATGTGTCTATGTGTGTGTGCGATAATTTGTATACATGTTCATTAGTGTTGCTATACTGTATCTCATATTGTTATGATCACATCATGATTTACTATTTTTAATGCTTTTGTCATATTATATATCAATGTAACTGTTAACTTTTAATGCATTATCATTGCTGTTTGCATGTGTTGTTGTTCAAACATCCTAAATTCATTCTAAAAAGCCCACTGAAGTGCAGAGCACAAATAAACACCCAAATCTTTATAACTGCTCAGATAATGAAAGACTAAAGATTGTACTGGGACAAATTCAAGATAGTTGTGACTTTCTAACCTGTCCCAGTCACCTGACTCCCACATCCACCTGCTCGCCAGTGTCTCATTCTCCACTCACCCTGTCAGTATATGTATCAGCCCCCTTTTCCCAAGTCATGTTGTACATATTACCCTTAAAATCATTTAACTCTTCCTGCCTACCTGGTGGTCTGCATTTTGGTCCTTTATCTTCGCTGCCTTGTACAAAACTTGACTGCCACGATGTGAGGAAAACTGACTGACCTGGATGTACATCAGGCCTCAGATTCCTTTTTCTGTTTATTCATATGTTGAGTTTTTGTATTTCTATTAGAATTACTATAAAAAAATGTGTATTCATTGGTTTTAATTTAAAATCTGCTGTTTTGTTTTTTTTGTTTTTTTTCCCCCCATAACAATGTTCTAACCATACTGTACATCAATGTCAGTATTCATACTTGAAATACTGCATCTGTTTATGGTCATCAGAGAGTGAGAGAGACTATACCTCTTAATATGTAGTTCTGGTAATTCTGGTCAGCTTCTGCTCCCACCTTGATGAGACACGTCAGACCTTCAGCCATCACAAACTCGTGGACCAGATCTTTGTCATCCTGAAGTAAAACAGAGAGAGAAAGAAAGCGCACAATAAATTACAATACAGTCTACACTGACTAACCACACAAAATCCCTCTCTCAACCTTCTCTTTTGTTACCACATGGTGTCAGTAATGTGCAGAATTAGAAAAGTTGACAGCGCATCATAAACTTATAACCCCCCCTCCTGTTCAGGACAGCTGATGCTCCACCCATACACACTCTCCAGGTCAACAACCATGTGTTTCGAAATTTGTTGCTTTCAACACATCATCCTTTATCTCAAATATCAAAAACAAAAATAAGAAGATGATGAAAGCACTTTAAGATAGTTATCTGACCAAATGCAAAGTAATGCTGCCTTCTAGTGCACCAAGTACTGACGTCTTCCTGTGTTCGTTCGAGGTTTTCATATGAAAAAGAAGCAGCAGTTGAATGACGAGGAGATGTTTTCATTCAGCTGTTGCTAAAACGCCACTGCATTTGCCATCAGGTACTGACGTGTGACTTCCACGCTCGGGTCACATGCTCACATTTATTTTGGCCCATTAAAGTGTGTGCATATTGTAATCATGATACTTACAATAGCACTTAAATGATGCAGTCAAAGTTCTCACTGTTTTGTTTACTGAACTATGCGTTACTATATATGAGTATTCTGCCTGTGCGTGTGTGTGTTCTCCAGAAAAAGCCTTTGGTATTTTAGGTGGTTGACTCCTCTCATCTTAAAATAAAGATTCACACAAACACAAATGTAAACACAGATACACACACACACACACACACACACACACACACACACAGGGAGAGAAATGCCACGTTGATGGAGATCCCTGTCATCATGGAAGCGCACAGTGGCCACAATAACCATCTGTATTCTGCAACAACAAACTGACAGTAATTGCATGTGACATATGTGTGTGTTACCTGAAAAATTTGCTTTAGAGAGAACAGTGCCCGTCTCAAGTCACGTCCATTGGAGTTGTACAGTCGTTCTGGAGAGAGAGAGAGAGACAAAGGAGTGGTTATTTGTTAGAATTCAATAAACAGCAACGAGATTTATTAGAGTGACCCAAGTGCTCAAAAGTTTCCACCTGACTTGAAGCAAGCATTTTTGACACATTCTGTTTGCATTGTTCATTCCCCCTGTGCTGCTTTCACCTCTCACCAGTGTTCATGTTGTGTTCTATGACTTGATCAATAAAACTTGTGAGTAAAATGAATTTCAGCTGTGCAAAAGTTGCACAAATAGTTTTGATATGCAGAAGGGAACTGTGGCTGTGATCACCTGGGGCAGGCACTTCATCACACACTTTCACCGCGTCCTCACTTGCTGAGCCACACGTGCATGCTCTGTCATACACACACACACACACACACACACACACACGTTGCAGTGGTGATTAGAGCTGTATTGGAATGTTAATGAGCTGCTGGCCGGGCTTCAACGGTGAGGTATTCAGGTCACGACACGGAAAGTACTCAGAACAAACGGCTACGAGCTCTTATACCACCACACTGATATTTAGCCTTATTATTATTATCCTTTAACACAAAGAGATCATAAACACATAACTACATAACACAATCATTACAGGACCTTTAACTGTTTATTGTAACCATGTGAACTGTACATGGTATTTCTTATCTAATAGTCCTTCTGTAAAATGTGGGGTTTATTATGTTTTTGTGGTGCTCAATGTTGCGTTTATAGTACTTTATCATTATATATATCTTGTAATCAGTACTATTACAATCATCATATTTCTACTATATTCATATAGTTATGGTTATATTTTAAGTATGTACAGTGGTTAAAAATTTCAACACAATTAACATTTTTGGTGGGACCACATGAGTTGCCGATTCAACTCTTGATCATTTCTGAGACAGTACTTACTGCGGTGTTGTTGCACTAAAATTTATTATACTTTCCATCACTCCTCTTATTTTGTCCACCATTTTGTATCTAAGTATTTCTATTTGCATGTACATAACCACTATAAAAATCAGGCAACAGACATATTGTTTAATTTCTAAGTGCTCTGCATCAAGCTCAAAGTCTAGTTTAGTTGAGTGTCCATACTGTCCATTTGTGCGTATGAACAGTTGTACTGTACATTCAGTTGTGTGTCAGTAGGGGGTTTGGGAATCTGCCTGTAAATCCTGAGCTGGGGGGGGTTAAAAGCATATAAGGGCCTTCTGTCGGGAGCTCAGTGATGACTGTCGCTAAGCTAAACGAGGCTAACCCAAGGCCAGGGTCAAAATCATTATCATTCAGCACACAGAGGAAAAATTACAGGACTGTCTGTCTCTCCATCTGCAGGACCCTTTCTGTGAGATCAGCAGGGGCCTTCATGAAATACATCTGCGATAGTCTACGGAGAAAACCAAATCATGCAAATCATTAAAGCCAAGAGGCTACTGGCACTGATGTGTGTAAATATGTGGGGAAAAGTGACTCCAAACTCACCAAAAAGCAAAGACAGACAGAAAAGACAACTTATACCTAAGCATGAAGGAGGTTGAGTAGGAGAAGAGAAAGGAAGGAAAGGAAAAGACAAGACAAAACAGAATATGAAAGGACAAGAAGTGACAGGAAAGGGAAAGGGGTGACTGCTGATTACAGGCCAGTGTCTGATGTGAGGAAAGACAGCCAATTGCTTCTGGGTATTTAAGGCAGAGGAGACAAATGAGTGCTGAAGACGTATGATTCCCCTTACTTGAGTAAAACATCGATTTTGAACCTTGTCTGAGCTAGTCCAGCTGATTAAAAAGTTTTACAGTAAGGTCCTGACAGTTGTAGGCAAGGCTGGATCAGTACCCCCAGGGGCCGCTGGGCACTGAAGCTCCAAAGGGCCCTCCTCCAATCCCTAACACCGACACTTTCGATAACAAAGCTACTGACATCCAGCAAAACACAGGAACCTTATAGAACCTTCCCCCCACCAGACAGACTGCACCAACAAGCATAGAAACACAAATGATGCTAAGGCCCACCTTAATTAGGCCATTTGAACTTCCAGCCAAGCTGGCATGTCAAATCACACACATATTGGTGAAAAGTTGATGACTAGTCCAGCTGAGCAGGCAGCAAGTATACCTGTCCAGTTCAATAAACCAAGTACTGCCATCTCACTCACAAAACACAATACAACGATACAATGAATTCAATCATCCCAAGACAGTCCATGGCTCAATACTATGGCAAAATAGTGTTCACTGAAAATCCCCCAAGCAGAAAGCACACTAGTAACGTTAATTCGGAAACATGACTGATACAACCTCATAACACAACACTGCTGAGCGCAGTTTGCAAAAGAACAGTCACTAAGTGAGTTGGACAACTTCTCACACTCCAAAAGCCAAAATATAACGTTGCTGCACTGACAAACTAACTCCCACACAGGTTTACAGCACCATCACACCATAATGATGCAATGCACATGTTATGCAAACAACATATAAACTCAGCAAAAACATCCTTATCTGGTCCCACAATCAGATTATATACTAACGTTAGCCTAACAGTTAAGTTAAGTTACTTAATTCACATAGTAACTTAGCTCTCACCTTTAGAAGTTCTAATGTTCTTGTCTTTTTCTTCGCAAAGTAACGTTAGCAGATCGTGTCCAGCTAGCAACAAGTAACTTCACGTTAAAGCAATATATTTTTTGGTGGACGGAGACTCTATAACGTTAATAATAACAATATAATAATAGAGTTACTTTCTGACGGCTTCCCCCTCCGTGATGCTGGATAGTTAACTTAGCCGCCAGATTGTTAAAGGCTGAAATCCCTTTGAGACGCTCTCTGTAATCCATCCCTATAGTGCAGATGATGGTACCTGCCACTGTCGATGGGCTCGAGATGGAGTTACCTCGTTCTGTTTGCTGATGTCTTTTCCGTTTCTTTCCTAAAGTTAGCTAACGTTACAGTTAACTTAACGTTACTGAGACTGAGCATAACGTTAGCTGGTAGAGTAGACGGTGCTTCCAAGCTAACACCGGCTAAGTAAGCTCGATATCCTGCTATTCATTTCTAGCTTTTTTTGAAAAACCTACTTATTAGCGGCATTTTTTTTTAATTGCAGCTGCTTCTTTCTCTTTCTCTTCCTTATCCTATTTCTTATTTCTCTTGGCAGCGCTGGGCTTCCGTTTGCCAACGCTTCCATTTCCACAAACACTAACGTTACACTCGCAGATACAAGCCAGCTGACCATGGGTCCGTTACAAACTGAATTCACCGTTTTAATCTCAACTTGTTCTTACAAAAATTGATCTTGAATCAGTACAGTGTAATCCACCTGCTCAATTACCCACCCACCTTTTTCAGTAGCCAATCTACACAGTGCACGGGGTGGTGATAGAGCAGCGGATATGACACGGCATGTGTGGTGTGAGAGACCCAGGTTCGAATCCACTGTGAGACATCAAGACACTAACCTCTAGGTGCTCCAGAGGTGTGTGACCTCTGACCTATATAGCAATTGTAAGTCGCTTTGGATAAAAGCATCAGCTAATATGAAGACATGTGCTTCCAATCATTACCTGGCCAGTCATCAAACTTACATATAAAACAGACAATCATAATGACACTTCATTTTTGTAATAAACCTCAATCACAGAGAGCCCCTCTCTGCCCCCTCTCTACCCATACAGTAGATCTGGGTCAGGTTGTAGGAGACAATCCACCACAGTGTCAAACCCAACTGACTTCACATTTACTGTGTCAGGTTACCATCATCAGTATTTCTCATTGTTTCTATTTGGCAGAGATCATCTTGGCACAGCTACTAGCTGTGGAACATAGACCAGCCAGATCAATTCACACTCTATGTCTGAGAGGCACTAAAACTGTCTTCATGTGGTTTAATTTTATCTTTCTTAAACGGAGGAGAACACATACAGGTGGCAGGTGCGATGACCTCCTCTTTTCAAACAGCCAGTTTGGCCTGATTTCCTCATTTCTCTAGGTTTCCCTGGAAATCAAGTGGCCACTTAATGGTGTAAGGAACACTCCGCCTGGCCCTTGAGAGTCAACAGTTCGTGTAGTCGGTCACGTGCCATGTTCATGTTCTTCATCAGGCCGTGAGCTGGGCTGTCAGGGTGACCTTTACTAAAAATGTCTGCTGTCCGTCAGGAGCACCTCAGCAGCAGTGATAAGCCTTAAACTTGCCGTAATTCATTGTGGTGTAACAGTAGTGATGCAGTCAGGTGTGAAAAAGTGGGAACACTCTGTTATAATTAGGCCTATAGAGTTTGCAAGGAGAACAACCAGCAATGAATATGAACTTATACTGAATTAAATGTTCAGAAAATACATTTTTTAAATTCTATAATGCTATAAAAATGGGCAATGACTCATTAAAACTAAGAAGTCTGTCTTCCTTGCAGTTATTTTATACTGAATTGTGTGGAGTGTGGTATCTCCCTTCCTAACACATCAAGCCAGTCACAAAATATGGGCCAGATGTTTTATTTTTATTTATTATTATTTCATAGTTACATTGCTGTATTTCTCTTTACTGAGCTATGGACTCAAATAGGGCTGACCCCGAATAGTCAAAGATTCGATGCTTCAATAGGTGGAGTACGCTACACTCTGCACAAGACTGGTGAATAGCAGGCGAGAGAGAGAGAGAGAGAGAGAGAGAGAGAGAAAAGGGTCATCAATAAGCATCAGTTTAGCTGGAAATTTACAGTGTAAGTTGAATGAATAGAAACTGCAGCTCTGCAGCTTCTCAAGATTAAAGCGTCCCCCCGCACGATGGGTCGACTTTAGGCAAGACTTGACAATTCTGATTCGACTATGTAAATCCTTAGTCGGGGACAGCCCTTGTACTCAAAACTAAAGTATCACAGCTGCATAGGAACCGCTGAGGACCTGTTACGTATGTTGGAATGAACATGACTGATTCATTACCCTAGCTGGATACAGATAATGTACAGTATGCCATAAGCTGTAAGGACACAGTATTTGTGCTAGGGCTGAA